GCGGGGCCCGCTGCTCCGGTCCCACCGGGTGATCAGCCTGGAGCAGTTCATGGCGGAGCTGGCGCCCCGGCACTGGCCCCCGGGCAGGCGGGTCGCTTACTGCTTCGAGGCGGCGGCGCAGAGGAGTCCGGACAAGAGCACCTGCCCCATGAAGGTGAGTCCCTCCTGCCGGGGCAGCTTGATCCAGAGGGCTCCTGCAGGTTGCTGTTGGTTTGCAAGCTCAGCCTCCCCAGTCAGGCTGGGAAGTTCCTTTGCTGCTCCTCCTCTACCTTTGTGCTCTGTCACTTCAGGCTTGGTGGGCACTGAGGACAGCAGATCTGGAGCTGCAAAGCTCCCTGTTTTTTCATCTGTGGTGCAGCTGGTCCTGTAGAATAATTTTGGTTGGAAAGACCTGTAAGATCATCAAGTCCAACTGTTCCCCCAGCCCTGCCAAGGCCACCACTGTGGCCCTCAGCACCACATGGCTTTGAAATCCCTCCAGGGATGGGGACTCACAGCTTGCCAGCTCTGCCCCCTGGGCTCTGTGTGTGCTGAACAAACACTCGTCTTCCCTTTGCAGGATGGAAATCCATTTGGTCCCTTCTGGAATCAGTTCCAAGTGGATTTTGATAAGTCTGAGCTCTTCAAGGGAATCTCCTTCAGTCCTGCATACAAGGACCATTGGATCCAAAGGTAGTGAGATGATGGGAAGGTGCTGGTTGGCCCTGTGAGGTAACTCACAAAACCAGTTGTGCTGGTCACTGTGTGAAACCTTTGCATTCAGGGGGAGACTGGAGGGGTTATGAGCAATATAATTAAAAACCTTAATGCTTTTTCCATGAAATGTTCACTGGGCTCTTCCAGTGGGCAGTTCTAGGTGTCAGCTCTGTTAGGCTGATTGATTTCTGAGCCAGTGATACTTAATTGTGTTTAATTGTTCCTCAAAAAGAGCCAGGTCCTCAGTGGCTGACCATGAATTGCCTTTTTCTGGTTACCTGGTGTTTTCACAGCCACTTGAGTGGTACCAGTAAGTTTGGGTGACAGACTTGCCAGTCTGGGGTGAGGTGCTGCTGCATGGATGAGACTCTCCTGTTTGTCAGGCAATACCAACTCCTTTGTTGCTGGGTCTGAGGTAAAATTGGAGTTGTGCTTGGATGTCATGGCAAAGTGGTGGGGGTTCATGTTGGGTGAATCTGGAGCTGTGCTGCTGTGCCAGGGGTGCATCGTTTTTCCGTTCTGACCCTCACAAAATGCACAGTTCTTTGCAAGATGACACACACACACAAGGTTCCACCACGCTTTGCTCTGCTGTTTTCCACAGGTTTCCACCATCCCAGCACCCTGTACTGGCCCTCCCTGGGGCTCCAGCCCAGTTCCCAGTCCTGGAGGAGCACCGGCCGCTGCAGAAGTTCATGGTGTGGTCTGAGGCGATGGTGAAGAAGGGAGATGCCTACATCCAGTCCCTGCTGGTCAGGCCCTACGTGGGGATTCACCTGAGGATCGGCTCAGACTGGGTACAGCCTGGGGGGGCTGCCCAGCCCTGGGGGGGCTGTGCATGGCAGGGGGGAGGCTCCATGGGAGAACCTTCCCAAAGAGGAGCTGGGATGGTGCTGGGTGGGGTGTCAGCAGGGCTGTGGATTCCTCTCTCAAGCAGGGGGTGGTGCTGGGGCGGCCCCGTGTTGCTGGGGAGCCCGTGGTGCGGGGGGGGTCCGTGGTGCAGGGGGGGGCCC